CATATTCTCGAGTTCCATTGCCAAACAACAAGGATGACACTTCTCCAAAAACATACGGTGAGTTTCATCTATAGGTTTTCTGCAATCATAAGTTCATTTTAGATGGCTCGTTCAATAACAACCACACAATTAACTGAATTCATTCGATTGTTCTGATCCGAGCGAGTGGCAGAAACGTCAACACCATCAAGCACCCTGGAATTAATTGCCATACTGCATGTTTTATTCTGGATGCTTTTGGATCATTACTACTCACGAATGGCGTTATATATGTCGTCCACTGAATAATCTAATTTTCAAAAATAACCCAGGCGAGTTCAACTATTTTACTGGATGATTTTTTTTGTACTTAAGATGTATATGTTTTTCAGTTGCTTTTGCCATATATTTGTGTCACTAAGCTAAATGCAGTGACTTCTTATGGAAGGTTTATAACGCATCATATTCCTGCCTGAAGTTTCACAAGCATTCTTAACGTTGAATTTATTTATCTGGTCATGTTCATTATTATTAAATTGTCATATACGTCAACAACCTGCTTGTTAACCTGACCCATACACGCGTTGCACTATATCTCCATGTCTTCTAAATTTAGAAATCATCTGGATCGCCTTTAACATTTATTAATAAACCCATCATAGTCGTTGTTGCTAATCGTATTTGGGTTTATGGATTGGTTTATCATATTAGCAGCCTAAAATGCGAACATAGTTTAGATAATAAGACTAAAAATTTAGGTACTATCAACTGCACTAGTAAAATAACTAAATCCTCAGGTAGCTGTTGGCTAAACAAACGTTTAAAATCAAAACTCCGTAGCCTACTAGAATTAACACTAAACGAATATTTCTGAATTGAAATTTATAATTAAATTAGGTGTCTTGGATTCTTTAACGTTATAAATTTCTGATGATTTCGAATCACCTAAAGCAACAATACCTATTTTTCCACTGACTAATCCTCAATCAACACTATAACTAGTTAAATTTAATAGTTTCAGGATATCGTCATAAAGCATTGTCATAACTTGACAATCACGTAATATGACTGATGAAATTAATGAAACTATTAACGAAATCGGTCAACAAATTGACTTATAATTACCATTAAATGGTGTTGTTTTCTTGGTATCTTCATCCATCACAGATGATTACAGTATGTTTCTCTATCAGTTGCTCATTCAATAAATATCTCAAAACCTTGTCAGTCTAATTGATGGTTTAGCGACACAATCATGCATGCAAATAATCAGTATAAGCAGTCGAGCAAATCTCCTGCAAACTGAAAACATCAATGTCGAATTTACCCCAACACTGACTAAGGTTCAAGCCATTGTCATAGACATGAGTTGGGAGTGTACCTCCCCTTGGTTACAACTTATGTTCTCCCTGATAATCACATGAGCATCACTCACTATTAATCATCTTGTAAAAACATATTTAGCTAAATACATCTTGCAGCACCACATCACTTCGTAATATGACACATAGGCTTAACTGATTTCAATAACTTATAACCACTATATCTCAATTAAATCGTATTCCGCCTTATGATAAACTGCATACTTGCAACTAACTTGTATGCATCATCAGCCGTCAGGTATAAATATGTATAAATAGTCTATGGCAACTCAGAACATTGAGTCTAGAGCATGTCTCTTACGAATACACTCATGTTTAACGATTTGTTCTTAGCTATCTGTCCAAAACTCATATAATTATCACTCATATATTGAAATTTTCTTTTAATAACCATTCATGTGTATTAGTAGTATTACTAAATTCTATCACGGTCAAGTAAAAATAAGGTTGAGAAAATCTCCCCGTAACTAAATAAGCCGTATCAAACTAACTGGAACACTAGTTGGAATTCTTCTCCACGGTATACTTTTGTTCCTTCAGTTAGCCTACTAATACAGATGCAATTGGAATTCAACTCATATGGACAACTTACCGGCATAATCGTTATTTGATTTCATAATTTAAACCAAAACTAATACCAATATTAACATTTCTACAATATTCATTATTTTAATATTTCTAAACACAAAATAATTACTGCCTATAAGTTAAGTTATTAACACGCATCGTTTTATTATTATTATTATTGTAACCCCATTTTTTTATAGCTTAAATAATCTTCACCCAGATTTTCATTTCAAGCGTTTTAAACATGAAGGCAGATATTTTAAAATTATTACATGTATTTCCCGACCAGATGCTGCCGCTTTCTTTTTGATTTATCTTTCAGCTTACCAATACCCGGAGGATTCTTATTATCCTTGGCAACCTCCGGCGCGCGACGATCCCATCCAATTCGGTATTGAACCAACATCACGTTGATTCTGGTGGGAGAGTAGTGTAGTGGCATTGAACAATAACCGCACAATCCACAAAGCTGAACACGAGACTACTCAGAAAATAGATATTCAATATTTAACGCGGATAAATACCTAAAAATGGAGAAGGCGCGAAGAATGAATTGAATGGACTGGAGTTGATCGAGTGGCATGGCTCGGCCATGCAGGCGTGGTCTCTATTCATATTAAATATATTGTTCTTTCTCTAACCTAACCTCGTTCTTCATCATGTATTGGTAATTGATACGATACAGTGAGTTGGCGTAGTCGATGGTGTGACTTCCACGTAAGATCTTATAGATTAGGCAGTTATATCATGACGAATCTACAAATTTAGGATTAGGTCTATTATTAGAGCAGTACTAATATCATAGTAGACCATAGTTCTACAGCCTCCCTTATATATAGCCAATAATATAAACATCCGCTCCTCTGATAGCGAATCTCACGATAGCGGTACTTGCGAAGTCATTAGCTGTGAATTGGCTATCGGATGTAGTACATTTATGCTCGATGTCATCTATCGCAGCCCAATTTGCTTAGCTGATGACCTTATTTTAGAGCACACTCAACTTTGGAGTGCAAATAACAGATACTTGATAATAGGAGACTTTAATGCACCTGATATTAGTTGGACTGAGATGACCACGGAAGGATTTAGAGACTAATTTGATAGTAGGTTCCTGATAATCATAATGGAGCATGCATTGGTACAGCATGTATCCGAAACCACACGTTTTGGTGCAAACCAAGGTTCTCTGTTGGACTTGGTAATCACTCATGAGACTGAGGATATTGTTGACCTAAATATTCATCCACCGTTTGTGAATAGCGATCACGCTGTTTTGTCATTCGCGTTTAGAACTAGGGGCGTGATATATGATCTAGTTACACCCCACCCAAATGTATGGAGAGCTAACATATCAGCTATTCAGCAGTGAGCTGCTAAGACGTTGGTCTGTAGGTACTAGCTTATCAGTTGAAGAAGCATGGTCTGTATTTAAAGGTAGGTTAAGTATAGTTACGACCTCGTTCATACTGTACCTGGTACCGCGATGACCGAATAACAGTCCACCACAGATAACTAAACCAGTCAGGAAACTTCTTAGAAGAAGGAAAATGCACCGGATTATGTTCATCTCTACTAGCTTAGAACAATACAGATCCAGTTATTGTAAGGTTAGAAATGCCTATAAATCGTTATTACGTAAGACTAGACAACTATATGAAAAACAATTGGTTAGGGGTTGTAGATATAGACCGAAACGGTTATTCTCGCATATAAAAAGGCAGACTCAGAGAAGCGATGGAATTCCATCACTTTTGATACAAGGTACTCCGTTAATCTTGGCGAGAAACGAGACCTAAAAAGCTGAAGCTTTATCAGAATATTTCAGTAAAGTATTTTTCTATCAGTAATGAAGAACGGTCAACGATTCATTGTGATTGTAGCGGCTAGTTGACGGACCCTGTAGTCATTGAGAAAGGTACCGTCTTAAAGCTACTTCAGCATTTCAAACCCTATAAGTATAGTGGTCCTGATGATATTCATCCTAGGATTATGAAAGCCATATAAGATGTAATTGCTGAACCTTTGGCGATACTGTTCGACATGTCTCTGTAGCAGTCCAGACTGTCCAGAGACTGGAAAGACGCTATAATAGGTCCGGTGTATAAGGCTGGGAGTAGGGATTTAGTTAGTAACTATAGACCCGTTAGCTTAACTAGTGCAAGCGAAGATTAGGCTGCGGAAAAAGACCGGAATACTCCTGCAGATGTGATCTTCATAGATCTAAGTAGGGTGAAAGATTATAGGGTGTTATGGTTTATTCGTAGGTCTTTCCAGTACTTAGATGTGAAATGTTTAGACTATTATACCCGATTTATGTGTGACCACATTTGGAACATGGGATTCAAGCAGCGAGTCCTTGTTTTAATTATGAAGCAGATATGCTGGAAAGAGTTCAACGATAAGGCACTAATATGGTAAAAGGTCCATCTGGCCTATCTTATGAAGACAGATTGCGACACTTCAACTTATTTCCGTTATCTTACCGTAGAATACGGGGTCATCTAATATTGGCTTATCATATCCTGAACGATGATCCTGGTATTATCTTTTGCTTCCGTCTAGGACGGATCATTTGAGAGAACATTCGAAGAAAGTTCAAACACCGAGATCAAATCGTTTACGTCTGGAATTTCGTTTCTCGCACCGAGTAGTTAATTACTGGAATTCTCTACCGGAACACGTAACATCAGCACCTTCCGTGGATATATTCAAAACTAGATTGGACCTTCACAGTACTACGAATTTCAAGGATTAATATAAGTCGATAGACTTCCTAACCTTATTATTGAAGACTGAAGGCTAATCGCACTCATACCGACTTGGATCTAGTAAACTATAGTTCACGTAACCAAATGAACGAAATACGAGTTGGTTTTAAGAAACGTAATAAATGTAGTTAAGTAGTCGATCTATGAAAATGGACTAGGTCGTTGATGGTTTTTAAAACACATCGTTGACCATTTTTGTAGGTCACATGTGCATTTGCCGCTTTACTTGAGAGCCGCTCATAGAATGGTTTACTTGCTTATGAACGTATAGCCTACGCATACTTATATCGATTAAGAATTGATGGATATTTCGCAAGCACACGGTGGAGATGTTGTCAATATCGCAAATTACTTGCTAAATGATTTAAAGGTTCCAATCGTGCATCATATTCATTATTTGTTTACAGAATAGCTATCAGATCTGGGAAGAGCTAATTTCAAAATGTACCAAATTCCATTCAGCTTTAAAGTAAAATCTCTTATTTCTAAGCATACCTTCTAGAGTTGCGACTCAGGCGTCATCTGCATTTTTGGATACATTTCAAAAAGTGGCGGATCTGGCTACAAAGACGCTTGGAGGCAGCAAAGAAATCGGTGCGTGTCTGACCCGTTATTGTATGCGTCAAAAAAGCCTAGAATCCAAAGTAAAATCCATGGGAAAGTAAGCATGGTTCAGCCCGTCATGTATTTATCTTTATCCAAATGCTCTTTTGGTGTGGAAAAATTAATTTATAGCATTGTACATTTAAACTTATGTTTACTATTTACAGCCCTGATTTGCCAGAAATGTTTTTCTATCATGGCCTGAGGTCCTTGATTTAAATCCCAGTGATTCCGTAATCTCGATGGTATGGTTGCACGTTATGGAACTTTAGTCAATGCTTAATATGATTGTTTTAGTAGTAGGATTGTAGAGATTGTCTTCCAGTCTAACTATTTTCAAAACGCCGTGGTCTGTCAATACGTACCATTTTACTACATACCTCCTAATAATATGCTGCAAATTTTTTTTGCACGGACAAACACTCATAAGTAGATATTTGCTCACTCTTCAAATTATTAGGTTTATCTATTTTTGGCCGGTAAATTGACCTCTTTCCAGGGACTGATTAAATTAAATTACTGGTCTAGAAACAATTAATAGGGACATCTAATCGGTGGATAAGGTTGTGCACGTGCTTAACGTGTATATCAGTACATAGAACGGTAATATTCCGGTATAGGCTGCAGCTCTTCCGAGCATAATACAAGCACAGTCTACAAATGAACGTGTGTGTTTCCAGACAAAATTTCTGACTCATCGACCTTGAACTATTTTACTCTGCCGTATACAAAGGATATGCAATCACTGAGTTCCTTTTTTTTTAACCTTTTTCCTTAATAGAAATTTGTTTATGGACGACCTATGAACGAATTTTTAAGTGACCTTGAGAACATTAGCCAATCAGAAGAGAGTTAGTGTAAAGTAAAAATATATTATAAAAAAGTGATGAATTACAATGGATATTCTTCTTTTACATTATTGAAGAACTTGTTGAGGTTTGATATAGGTTCAGAAGTTTTGAAATCATAGTGAATGCGGTATAAGAACTCGTCCATACGACTCCATAATAATCGTCCTCTGGAGCCGTGGTAGGAACTTAAAAAATACTTCAGCCTAGACCACATGCCCTCAATGTTGTTTGTATGGACCCCCGTCGTCGGGTCAACAAAATGACGTTCGTGCACCACAACATGATGCACAAATCCAAGTCTCGAGAGGCATCTATACGCTTTCCAATCACCGGTATAGCCGCAGCTAATGTTACTGGAGACTTTATGATCCAATTTGCAACGATTATCATGGTTTGTCTTAGCCTTAGCCGTGACCGGGCAAAAAAAGTGCCAGTTCGAGCAGATTTTTTTGTACAACATATAGTACAACGAAATACAATGTCATCGCGGCAGTCTGCACATTGTGCTGCGGTCATTTAATTGCCGCAGTCACAGACACAGGAGCTTCTTAATAGTCTCATCTGCTGTAGTCTCTCAACGATTACCCATTCTCTAAAATCTGCTGTAAAACGATCGAATGTGAGCATCTGGCATTGAACTTAGCGCCGCGACCTTGAAACTCCTTAGACGCTTCTGATTGGCTCGTCCATAAATTAGAGAAATTTGTGTTACAGTTGGACCGTAAGACGATAGCGTTATTATTCTTACATACCTATCATATTTTTCTCTAATCTTCCGTATTTTAGTCATCTGGTCACTAGTCTTGCCAACCCTCTCAATTCGAAAGTAGATGAGTGGAAACGTAATCTGTGTCAATTAGAAAAAGACCGAACTCGTCAAACTAAAAGAGTGCGTGCGGAATTGAAGAAAGCCCTTTCTGAAGCACAAAAGTGGGAGAAGAAGGCCGCTAAAGTTGGTGTTACTGGTGGTAGTGGTGTGGGACCCGGTGTAGGCCATGGTATTATACCTCCTGCAAAATACATATGCTCCAATTCTGAATCAAATGCAATTAGTTTACAAACTGCTAAGGCTGCACGTGAAGTCGGAATCAAGAAGGAATTAGTTGAAAATACAGAGAAATCTGCGATGCGTTTATTGCTACTTGAGGAACGAAGCCGGTTTTGTTTTTTCGTCTCTTGCCTTCTTCCAATTCTTGTAAGTGGAATTCCAACGATCTAGAGTCAGTAGTGACAATATTTATGTTGTTTTGCAATGTTCATGTTATTTTGTCCGTGAATAACTCAGGCTCAATCGCGACATTCTCTGACTGATAAATGAAAGAAAATGTAAATCTAGACGGTTGGTCGATTAGAACGTATATTTTCATTCATACATTTATAAAGTTAGAAATATAGAATAATATTGAATTTTAACAATTACTATCGCTAAAAATTTGGATTGTGTTTAAAATATGTAGGTGTTTGAAGAATACTAACAAGGAATATTATACTAATGCAGGCTTATTCCGAGTTTTCCTAAGATAATAAGGAAGAATTAAACCATCTCCAGAACGGTCGTCTTATATGTTTATGTTTGCTTTAAGTATTAACCAATGCATAACCTAAATACGTACGAATAATGCTTCTGTTTTAATTTTCCTGTTTGCTTTTGTATACTTAAGCACAAATTTCTCATAGTCCTGTTTCAAATGACTGAACAAGATAACTGACTGATGAATATTTGTGTCAAGTTGTGATTAGTAGCTGGTGTGTATACTTCTTCCTGTTTATCATCATCTAAATTAAGTAATGCTTTTTGTTGAGAAATATTGAAAACTATATTTTACTGTACGTAATAAATTTACTTAAAAATTATGCGTATTATTCCTGTTGGTTTAATGTTTTGCTGGTTGTATGAGATGGGTGTACTTCTCAGAACAATTTCGTCTTGTAAGTAGGTAAAAATACAAGCTAGTAATAGTTTACAAGCCTCCCTGCTAAGCTACAAACTACACTTCTCGATAGCGTTAATACTACTCATATGTCATAGCGTTAGCGAATGGAAAGGTGTTTAAACTTTCAACCTACACCTGGCATGCGGTTAGTGTAATGTACCAGGGTTTTTTATAAAACATAAGAAAATGTGAAACTTTTTATGAAAGTGCAGCGGTCAGTTTTCAAATATCAATTGTTAAATTTTTCGTTGATATCTCACAATTTAAAAGTGTCACTTTCTTTTTGCCTTAGGAGTGTCAATCAAGCATGTTACATGAAATAGCCACTATGGATGAACTTATTAAGACCCTAACAAAAGAAACTGAGTTTCCAGATCAGTTGGTTGAGGACGTAGAGTCTATTGTACTGAGGATGGGACGACGTGATTTTTCTGCTTCTTCTCGAGGTAGCAGTAAAATCATGTCAGTTTTCGTACCAGATAGTGGAGATAAGATGAACAATATAAATGAAGTTTTAGGAGGTTTGCTCATGACTAACGGTAATCGAAGCTATGTCAATTCAAGCGATACGGAGTCTGGTCGTCACGGTGCTGACATGATGTCACCATATCAAATTTGTCGTGACTTAGAAACGGTCGGCCGATGCAATTCTGTATGTGACAGTGCTGATATTTCTCTATGTGGAGCCAGTTCACATAGTGGCAGTGGGGGAAGTAATTGTCCATCCCTTTTGTCCCCCGCACGTGGTAATGTCGCTCGTTTGGGTAGTCGTGAATCAAGTCTTATTTCCGTGGATAGTGCAGCCTCAGGAAGTGGCAATGCAAATTCTACATATTCTATTGGAACTTCAAATACAAACATACCACATTCTGATCCTGTAAGTCTTTAAGTGATTGTGTTTTTTCAGTAACTACTTTCTTGGTTAATGAGATATTTGCACTTGGAATTTACTGTTTTAGTTGTTTTAAGCAAAGTTAGCAAATAATACGCTTTGTAATTAGTTTGGTAAATCTATCGATAACTTTGTAACCATGTAAAAAAACCTACTGATTGCGTTATGACTATGGAGTTTTATAGTTTTGGTTTTCAGTCAGGTATATTCCTAACACTTATCAACAATTTCATCGCAAATAACTTTAAAGACTCACTAACCTGGCATAGACAGTGAATTATTGTAACCTACTTGTCAATCTCTAGTTCGTATGCTTCGCTTTGAGTCATGTGTATTAGTTTGTGAAATTTCCCAACTCCTCAAACTGAGTTAGGTTTGATGGGGTCTGAACCTTCAGTCTTATGACTGACAGTTCAAACCTTGCTTCAGCTGATAAAGTTTAAGAAACCGAGTAGCACAGAAAGATTTATATCCTTAGTCCAATGAAATTCATTTAATTTCGTATATGAGTTTGCACATAGTAGCTGGTTGATATTGGTTTCGAATGAAAAATGCTATCCGGAAATCTTAGACCTCAAATCTAGTTTATTTCAATGTGTAACACCTTTTTGTCTAGCATAATCAATGACATTTTTGGAAATAACCTTCCAGACGTCGTTTTTTGAAAATTGCATTCTCTTCACTTGTATACATATTTCATAAATTGCCTGACTACTGTCCGCAGCTTTTTGTCTGCATTCATTTAAAAAATGTGCTATTGAAAAAAACAGTCTGGATTTGCTGCTTTATATATGATCGTAGTATGCAAACTATTTAACTATAGTGAACACAAATAAGACCATGTAAATACTTTCTTCATTGCCTAGAACTTTTCAATCTACCAAATCGGCCGGTGTTTACACTAAAGTCAACAAAAAATGTAGAATTTGAAAATGAAAAAATAAGTATTTTTGCATTTTGTAAATACATCTATGTATATGTATATTCGTGATGTTCAATATAAAAAGTTATGGTCACTTTTTATTAAGAGACAAAACATTTTTTAACGCTTGTGTCGGGAATGATGGATGTTTTAAAAATGAGAAATTTCTTTATTTTATTCTAAAACTATTCACCGTTGTTTTCATGTGGCACATAGTTCAATTCAATGCTACTGTACTGGTAATACATGAATGCGTCTTGACTGTTTAGTGATTCAATTAAATTGATTATTATTTTCTCTCAAACTAATTAGTTGTAACAGAAACTTCCTACCAGTGCTCCCAAGTATATATATATATATAGACAGTTGTTCTCTAGGTTACAGTAATAAAGCCTTCAAGCAAAATAAATTTAAAAAACCCATTGCATTACTGAATGAATTATAAAGGTCATTCAAAGCAGAAGGTTTCTTTTGAAGCGACCTCTTTCTAATCTTCTATTGACTCATTTATTAAGCCACCATAAATGTAATTGTACAGCTTTATTAAATGAACTAGATCTGGTTTTAGTTAGGATTTATGTTGGTTAACAATATCGTATTATATTGCAAAGTGTGCTGAAATCGAGGCGAAAACTTCGTTAATTGGAATTACCATTACTGGTTACTACGCAACGCTCAATCTTTACGCGCTGGCTTAGTAGTTAAGACGTCCTACTTCATTTCGTCCAGTCGGGTAGTATCATTACCCTTTACACTTAAAGTACCACTCACATCCAAGTACTTAGTAAGTAAATTATTCAAGAAAAGTATGTGTTGAATTTCATAAAAGTTTGTATACTGTACATATCGTATCGATTATACTCTATCCTAATTAATAAGAGATGATGATAATATTTATGGAAGGAGTAAAGGGAATTTCACATAACTTTGTAACAAATTAATTTCAACAGTTTCTTAGGATTATATAATGTCTTTTTTATTCTTTTCGAGAACATCTTAACTATTGTTTGCAAAATGCTGTTATTTACATTGTTAACTAAGAAGTAATATCAAGGCTCTTCATTGAAATAATTCCCACGACAATTCAAAAATCCGCTGTCTGTATGCACGCTAATCGGTAGTTACTTAGATTTAATAAGTAAAATTCGGGTTTTGTAAAGATATTTTTTCACTATTATCTGAGGACATTGATCTACTATTACCACCACTGATGTTATCATCACTACTACTAGGATTAATAGTAATAGTAATGATAAATAATACCATTATTTCACACAACATACAAATGACCTTAAAATGCAATATTTTTTGTTTTTTTTTTGCAATAACCTGTTAGCTAATTTCTTTATAATAAAGAACTTATGGTCTGGTAATTCGTCTAACGTTGAGAAGTTATTACTTTATGCTCTGTATAATTTTTGAATTATTTTTATCGTTAAAAAATACAGTTTTAGGGCTGTATCCATTTATACTTTTTACTGAACTATTTTAACCAACGTATACTTGAGTTGTTGGCCTATGTTTTTCTGCTTCAAGCGTATTACAGTCAACCAAAGCACTGAAAGTTTTGGTATATATATATATATATATATATACGATTATGTATTACAAGTTGTATTTTAATAACAAATGATTATTTGTGTTCATCAGTCTTCAGCTTATCACTCGAATACATTACTTTAATGGTTAAGAGTATCTTTGAATTGAGCACTCCATACATAGAGCGTATAAGTGGGTATTTACATCGTTGTAACTCATTAGGGTATGCAATTTGACTATCTACTACCTATCAAGGTTTTCATTGTAACATACTGTCATCTGAGTTAACACAATAATTACTGTTCATAGCGCTGCTCATGAGGGTAAACATGAGTTGTTGTATTATTATAATTACTAACAGTTCTCTGTGAATAAGTTTATTTTTTGCATGTTTACTGGTCAATTAAAATAATTCACTGCAGTTAATTTTACAACGAAATAATCTTCGGTAAATTGGTAAACTTTTAATGGTAGCTGATATTTTTTTTACTTTATTACTATTACGGCTTTGTAAGAATTTTCGTCTGAATTTTAACGAAAAGTTTCACAATGGTTTTTATGGATTTTTATTTAAATTGTCTGCGTACATATAAACCACTCTGAATAATATATGATATAGAATAACTAACCGTTTGTGTGTATACAGTCTTTCAAACTCACCTGTGATTGATGCTTTTTACCATGTAAAATGTACAGTTTCATTATGTATTTATACGTTGTCAATCAGTATATGTGTATTTCATACATTCTTCAAATTACTTATAAGTTTGTCACAGTTCTTAATATCTATCAGTTTATCATTTGTATTCTATGATAATAACATGTACTATAGAACTTTCAATAAGAATAATTATTTCTGGATTGAAAAAAAGCATGACAATATAGTTGCCAATGTAAATTAATATTAGTGGCACAACGGTTTTTATGAGATGAGAACTAAATTGTCAGCTGTGACAAGAACAATTGTAATCGAAGGTTGATAAGTTAGACGGCAAACAAGCAAGCAAACAATGTAGTAAACAAAGACACTGTAAGTTATAATGCATAACTTCAAATTGATATGATTCTTTTATAATTCAATGGCCATCTAAAAATATGTTCTTTACGCTACAACACTATTCGTAAGTTCGAGACTCATGAGCAACAACCACTTTTGATCTAGAACAAGAAGGAACGCTTGTTTTGTTTACCCTGATCAATAAATATCTCTGTTGATGAATTACAAAGTTAATGTAATCTTGTGTATCTGTAACTGAATTTCATGGGTCCATGTAATAAGTGAAGCTTAACACCGAAAAGCTTCTAAAAACAGACATTTTGATTGAATTAAAAGTTTCGTAAGCTGTCATCGTACGGTTTCGCTTATTTACTTTAATCTTACGATGACTTATACACGTTTTCTTTTATTTTCTACAAAGAAATCGTTTGATTGAAGTCGAAGACATCAGTAATTTACTCTTCTCTCTCATTGAGATATTTGTTTAAAATACACTTATTTCTCTTGTAAACTATTTAATTGATTTTTATTGAATTCTCTCAGGTCAGTTCATAGCCGTAATGTCAATAGGTTCTATATATGTAAATTAAATTTTCATTGAAGTGATTGTTTTCAAATATTATTTTATTGTTGATGGAAGAACTTGATTTTTATGAATATTCAAACTGAATTCTCCTGTGCTAGTCTTTACCTTATAAAGTTTCATTGACAATACCTTCTGGTCTCATTCATCCATCAAAATTAAGGCATAAAGCCACCGAATTTTGTGTATGTCATTTGTTCAAACTATGTTAGGTCCTCATTTATTGTGATTTATGGGGGTTCTTACTTCATCGTTACTAATTACATTCAAAAAATACAACTTTATACAATTAATAGGAAATATTGAACCAGTTGAACAAGTTGTATTCAAATCTCAGTGCAGATGTTGAAACTGGGATTTAGGCACATCCAACTGATAAGTTAAAAATGGGACGAAACCCATGTCTTGAATTCGAAAACATGAGTTCTTTGCTTAAAATAATATTAGTGTACTCTACGTTATCACAAACTTATGCCACATAGGTTTTTTACGTTTACCAATAAAGTAATGATATAGTTTGTATCTTCGTCTAGATAATCTAGGAAAAAAAATCAGTCATTATGACAACGGTGTAGCTCTTTGTGGCAAATAAAACATAAAATATTAGAATTTCTGAACACTTCGATCGTTCACTTGTATCTTGTCATCGATATATCGTTTTTATGTCTATGCAGTAGAAGTTGCATTTTAGCCTGTTGTATTATCTTCGTTAGTCAGTCATCTACAACGTAGGACCAGGGACATATATGCATTGGTCCAAGTTTCCATACCTCATTAGCACGACAAGATGAACACCAAATTCATAGAAGCCATTACTTCAGTAGTAGTAATATATAAAAAAATATTGTATATAAGGATTTGATGCAGGGAGAAAGAATTAATTCCTAGAAAGAAAAGGTATAAAGTAATCTCATGGTTTAAAGGAAGACAAAGAGTTTATACAC